CAAGCTGAAGCGGGCTATCTCTTGGCAGAGGCAGTTCCAGATTGCCAAAGAGAAGAGGTAGGGGGTCCATTGGTAATTGAAGAGAAGTAATGGAATCAATGTAGCTGAGTAGTTGGGTCCAGAAAATAGATATGAGTTGGCAAGTCCAAAATCTGTGTTTTAACGAGGGTTTATAGTGACCACATAGAGGGCAGGTAGAAACTGAAGGATTCCCACGGATATATAAGCATGGCATATAGGCATGATGCATTAGCTAAGTTGTTGCTCCCACCAGAACTCATTGGTGTTGAAAAGCGCAGGTATTGTTGAAACCAGTGAGGAGTTGATTAGTTGAAAATGTGTTATCAAAGTCTCTAATCCAGGGAGAGTTGGTAGAGGATGACTCTAGAGGTTGTATATAATGCAGATTTAACGGTCCATAGATGTTAGATATCTTATATTTTCGAATCCTGACTAAGGTATCTATGAACGATGAACGGAAGCGGCCAGCTTTAACTGGTGTTATCGTATTCACATAGTTACATACTTGTAAGACGTATAGAAAATGGTGAGGAGGTAGATTGAAGGAAGTTGAGATCTGAGGAAAGGACAGAGGAGAGACAGAAGCAATGTCATATAATTGGCTTACTAATTTGAGGTCCTGTGCAAACCATAGATCGTATGCTGCGTGTTGTTGCGGGATGGGGAAAGCAGTATTGTGGTGAATGGGGAGGAAGTGAGAGACCCATGGGGATACCCTTAGTTTGTGTCTGATTTCCCTCCACGTGATAAGGGTATCTCGTATGAGTGGATTATATTTTAAGTGTGGTGGGAGTGAGTTAGGGTTTGAATGTAGAAGGGCAGTGAGATCAAAAGGGTGAACCATGGCAGATTCTAATTGTAGATTAGAGTAGTTAGAGGAGTTGGTCAGCCAATCTATACATACTCGTAGAATGCAGGAAAGATTGTATACTCTGATATTTGGAAGACCAATTCCTCCCTCACATCTAGGCAGATATAGCTTCTGCAGGGCAATGCGTAAACGGCGACCTTTTCGTAAAAAGTTGGAGATCGCCTTGTTTAATCGAATTATGTCCGTATGTTTAAGCAGTAGAGGGATAGTGCCAGGTTGAAGAGCAAGGGGGATAGGGGGCAGCCTTGTCTTGTTCCTTTATGAAGTTTTATAGGGGGAGATATGTGCCCTGCAGCAATCACCTGTGCCATGGGAGCCGAGTACATAACTTGGACTAAATGAGTGAAAGGTCCGAATCTATGTAAAATCATCTGTAGCCACTGAAAATTAACATTATCAAAGGCCTTTTTGGCGTCAAGGGAAATTATCGCTATATCCTGGAGAGCATTGGTTTTTGCATGGTTTAATACAGCTAGTACTTTGCGGATGTTTGAAGTGGCAGAGAGACCCTGTATGAAGCCTGTTTGAGAAGGGTGGATGATGGAAGGCAAGATGATGGCTAAACGATTTGCTATAATTTTTGAGAGAATTATGGCGTCTAGATTTAGAAGGGAAATTGGTCTATAGGAACCCGGTTCAGATGGGTCCTTGTGTTTTTTTGCTATTAGTTTTATATGTGCTCGGAAGGCTGACGGAAGGTACGCTCCCCCTTCTTGTATTGAACAGTACACTGATTATAGGGTTTGAGAAAGGGTTGTATCCATGAGTTTATAAAATTTGGAAGTGTATCCGTCTGGGCCGGGAGCTTTACCACTTGCTAGGGCTTTTATGGCAGAGTGAATGTCGGATTGTGAGATAGGAGCATTGAGGGATTGGAGTGCTACGGGGTCAATTTGGGGAAGAGCAATACCGTCTAGGAAGGAGATAGCCTGTGAATGATCAATGGGTTCGGATCCATAAAGTTTAGCATATAAATTTTGCAATATGGTGTTTTAGCATGCCCTGGGAGTCTTTGAGGGAGGTGAAGTGTGTATGAGTAAACGGTTTATGGCACAAGCGGGCTAGCAATTTACCAGGTTTGTTGCCAAATTTATGGTACTGTAAATCTAGATAGGATTTGTGCATAGATTCTTGGGCTGTTGCCCATATTTCGAAGTGATGTTTTGCATCTAGCCAGGCTTTCCTGTGTTCATGTGTGTTGGATTCCGCCAAATTTTTTTGAGTCAGTTGGAGTCGATTATTATCTTCTGTGTATTTGAGAGTGAGCTTTTTCTTGTAGGCAGATGTAAAAGCGATGATTTTACCACGTAAGACCGCCTTACCCGTTTCCCAGAATAGATTTGGGTTAGATAGATGAGCTGCATTAGTGAACTGGAAGTCCGCCCATGTGTCTTGGAGTTGTTGTAGCAGCTCCTGATTATTTGCTAAGAAGGAAGGAAAGCGCCACATTTTGAGTTGTTGTGTGTTATTAAGATAATTGAGAGAAATGGAGATGGGAGAATGATCCGAGATAGCAATATCGTGTATTTTCTGAAGATGAAGTGTATTGCGTTGCAATGGAATTGCAGAAAAAATAATCTATTCCAGAAAGCGAGTGATGTACCGGAGAAAAGAAGGTGAATTCCTTCCCCACTGGATGGGCCAAGCGCCAAATATCTGTTAATTGCATTGCTTCCGCAAAAGTAGATAACAGTGTGTGTAGAATAGGATTCCGAGGATGAACGATGGTTAAGATCCAGTGACTTTGACTTGTCTGCAAGGGCGTTCATGAATGAGTTGAAATCCCCTCCAACTACTAAAGGGAGATAGATGTAGCCAGCCAGTCTTGAAGACAAGTCCTGGAAAAACTGTTTAGATGGTGAGTTTGGGGCATATGTGTTGGTGAGGACCAGGGATTGAGAACCCTACTTTAAGATGTATTGCTAGGAATCTGCCTGCTTCGTCAGTGTTTACTGAAAGTATTTCGGGAGTGAGTCTTTTGTGTATCAGCATAAGGGCTCCTGCTTTATTGTTTAGTAAGGGGGAGCCTATGACGTGCCCTACCCAGAGTTTCTTCATACGAGCAAAGTCGGTTTGACCTAGATGTGTTTCTTGGAGTAGTGCTATATCTGCTCTGAGTCTGCGGAGATGACGACGTATCGCCATACATTTATGTGGTGATCTCAAGCCCTTGACATTCCAGGATAAAATACGTATCATTATGTCACATGAAAGGTGATGTGTACCGAGGTGATAGACTTACAGGTTTGCTGAGTGGAACAATCTAACCGCCCGTCACCACCCCGTCTCTGATGGAGTATGATTAACTCCCGGGGAGGGGAAAAGTCTCCAGAGTAATGTGATGAAGGAAAGTAATAAGGGAAAGAGAGAGAGTAGAGCAGGATGGCCCAACTGGGGCCTAACTGATTGGCAAAATAAACAGAAAACCATAGCAATATACTGTACTTCACATATATCTGCATGCTGTCCCTATGCTACCACCAGCATATCCGGGTAGTAGCAGAATAAATGATCTGTAACAGGGGCTCATTGGAGTTGTTGAGAGGACAGAGGAGCATAGCCCCCTGACCTATTTGGTAGCACCGAGGGGGAGTGGATTCAACAAATCGAGCGGCCAAAGCGGAACTTTTGGTCGAGGCAAGGCACAGAAAAGAGGTGTCATAATAAATGCATGTATAAATTATAAGAGTGACAACTAAGTAACCACAAAACCAAGAGTGTTATCACTATCTAGCAGCAATTAGATCTAACCATGGACTCAAATCGAGGAAATATCTAAAGGCCTAGAAGACTTATATGTAAATGAGTGGAGCAGGTAGATCAATGTGAGGAGCTATTCATATAGCACCTGTATGGCTGCTTCAACTCAGGATTGGCGAGATTTGGAGGAGGCAAAGTTAATGCATTGGTGTTTCGGTGGATCTTTGCGGGGGGGCTTTGTTGATCTCTAGGGCCCGAGTGTCAGGTGGGATGGTGGGGAGACGTTACAGCGTCTGTGTCCGCCAAAGAATCTTGTAGATATTGAGTGGCTTCTTCTGGGTGGACGAAAGACTTTGTATCACCAGAGGGTGTACAGAAGCGGAGAGTAGCCGGATACGCCAGGGTGAACTTGTAACCCCCTTGGTATAGCGTGGCACATATTTGCTGAAAGGCCTTATGTTTGCGGAAAACCTCTTGCGAATAATCAGCAAATAGGAGTAATTTGTGACCATCTATTTGCAGGGATCGGCAGTTGCAGAAAGAATTGAGAATAGCCACTCGGTCCGCATAATTGAGATATTATAGGGTAGGGTTAATGTGTTAAAAATGTCTATCTTGCCAAAGTTACTTTACCTTTTTGAAACATTCCCAGTGGCAATACTCAACTGCAAACTTTACAACAAGCGTTTTTTAGATTTATTAGCATGGCAGAAAGCCTTGAATAGCAAGAACGGTTTTTCTGACTCCAAAAAAACAGGGAGGCCTAGGGGTACCGGATATTACCAAATACTATTTAGACACTCATTTGAGACAAACGCTATCATGGTTCACCCAACAACCCCAGAACAGATGGACAGAGATTGAATTAGGATATATTTATCCGATTCACACATGTTCATTGCTACACTCTTTTCATTATGCATTACCCCTATCCCCCCCATGCTTGAATCTATGAAATTCACCCTCAAAATATGGTCAGCCTGTGGGAAATCCCAGCAGTTATTGTCCATGTGGTCTCCATTGTTGAATGCTTTGTATAATCCGGAGCTCCCAGATACTCTGTCTTACCCACAGATGAACTCTTGGCCAATTAGTTGGATATTTCAACTCCATCATCTGATCAATCCGGTTTCACGCAGGATTCGGTCATTTGAGGAGCTTAGGGTGTGGAAATCCACATATATATATATATATTTTTTTTTTTTTTTACTCAGTCTTAAGTTTTCAATGAATCAACAAAATGTTTATGGGCTAGATTGTATGCAATTAATTAGACATCAAAAGCTGTATATAAACCAAAATAAAATTATGTTATATATACAATGACAGTACAACCCAATCTGAAGAATGCATTGTTTATATAAGGCTGTTTTAATAATGTGAATGCTTTTTGATTGTAGAAGCCAATATGGTTAATACTGGAGAGATAAATGGTTCCAGCAACCTCATGGATTTCCTTGATGAGCCAATTCCAGATGTTGGGACATATGAGGACTTCCATACTATTGACTGGTTAAGGGAGAAGTCACGGGACACAGACAGGCATAGAAAAGTAAGAGAACCAGATCTTCATATCTGACTTTTATTACTCTGCACTGAAAACTGATAATAACACACCAGGGTTTCTCAACCAGGTTCCATGAAAGTCTAGGGTTCCTCCAGAGGTTTCCAGAGTGATGATTCTCACAACCCATGTGATGCTCACAGGGAAGACTGCAGCTTACACCTGTGGTCATTGGAAAGAATTGGAAAGATCAATGGTGTCAGTGGAAACTTACTGTAAGTTCCCACTGACACCATTGATCTTTCCAATTCTTTCCAATGACCACAGGTCATGTGAGTATCATGGGTTGTAGATATAATAATTTTTAGCAGGTGATTCCCTGAGACCGGGAAGTTATTTCAAGGGTTTCCCTGTGTTGAAAAGGTTTGAAAAGGCTGCACTACACCATCACAAGAGCAATTAATTTTATACAGAGGGATCATAATAAAAGAAAATCACCAGTTGATAATGGAATCGATTGGAATGTTGAGCACAAGAATAGCTGCCTATAAGTGGAACCATTGTTAGCAAATTAGACGAGATACACATACAGTATGTAGCTGGAATAAAAACTACTTTACGGTACCCAGTTTTATCCTGAGGTTGAGATAAGAAGACTAACGTGATACTGTGTATCAATACTGGCAATGTTCATACAGCATATCACTAAATGTTTAGTTTCCTGTTTAGTGGCCTTTCAAGACTCAAGGCTTCTATGCAAAAAAGTCTTGTGGCCCCCCACATAGACTCTAGCTATACATCTATTCATGTGTGAGTATAACAGTCTAAGCATTTCAAATCACTGCAATCCTTACAGGGCATGTAAAATTTAACAGTTCATTTTTATTATTGGCCCTGGTGTGGTATAAAAGTGTTTTACTATTTATCTGTTTGATAAGTGAAAATAATACGTGTTGGTTCTGCCACAAATACAGTGAGCTCAGAACTTCCTCTCCTTTCCGCAGTATGGCTTCAAGCAGTGTTATTAGTCCTTCCCAGTTCTCTGTGTGTACTACAAAACATCTCCTCCTATGTTATTGAGACGATGAGAGGTGGAGGTGTTCTAACACACTTTCTGTCCCAGGGTGACAATTCTGCTCTGCCATATACTGTATACAGTACAGTTAGTGAGTCTTATCATCCCAGGACTAGAAGTGTGTTACTAGCAGGATCACCAGGTGAACATGAAGGAGAATAGAATAGAAGGAGAATAGAAGGAGCCTGGAAAAAAGAAAAATAATGCAGCCACCACATCTAAGGACTGGTAAGCTACAAAACATAACATTTGTGCTCTTTGATTTAGAAACACTTTACATATTTAAACAATGAAACAAAGGAGTTAAATGGCTGCCTAATACATAATGGTCTTGTATGGACACCTCACCATATGTATTTAGGAGAAACACCTGGTGTTTCCATTACCATGGGAAACAATAGCAGCTGCTGGGGAAATGCATTTCAAATGATAAGTATTTTGGTCCAAGTTTGATTGGCTGAGGAGGCTATAGTTTGTTGATGGAAATATGAGTAATAATAGGATTTCATTTTCACTGTTTTGTACAATGATAATAATAATGATAATAATAACAACTTTTTTTTAGATCACAAACAAAAGCAAGGAGTCTGTGTGGGAATTCATCAAAGGACTTCTAGATGCCTGGTCAGGATGGGTTGTCATGCTTAAAATTGGACTCCTAGCAGGTACGCTCAATGTTCATTCTATTGCATCTCACTGCATGGAGGTGCAGGTGGAGTTTATATAGTAGAACAATAGCTTTACACTCCTGGGCACCTCTGCAAGAAATGAACCAGGGTTACCTGCATCACACAGCATGCTCCCCACATCCAGTACCCATAGCTGCAATCAGTACCCTTATTTACTGTACTTGCCACTGCAACCATACTTCCACGACCCTCACCCCCTTATAATTCCCTTCCCAGACAACCATCCAGCCACACATCTCCAAAGCAAAGCTGCATAGCTCCAGGTAGAGCCATATAGTAACACTGAATAGGATGACCTCATGGCATGTGTGTAAGTAAAATGAACTGTAAGCACCTATGTGATGATGTCTTTGTCTATTATAGTATAATTCTGGTTGAAGGAATAGGGATAGTGGCAGAGTGGTGGCATATATGTATGTAAAGGCTAAATATAATGAGTCGTTTGATAACAGTATCATGAATAACGTAGCATATATAATGTAATGTCTCAGTGCAAATTGTGGACCTGGATTATTGCTGGAGGAGGAGTTGGAGGAGAATGAAGACTGTGACCCTTCTTTCTTCAGAACTGCTAACTGTGTATCTTTAGTACAGGTACCTATATAGCATCATTATATATATATATATATATATATATATATATATATATATATATATATATATGTGTGTGTGTGTACAGTTACAGTTCCTACCTGATGAGGGCCATTATCAATATAGCCCAAAACTGTTGAATATGGAATGCTTTTTGATATTTGTATTTTTTTAATTTATGGTAAAAAAATTTCCTGTACAGCAATCCTGCGTTGGATTTTTCTATATATGGCTGCTGGGATGGTCTGATTGCTTTGCATTAAGAAGAATCACCGCTGCTGTGCACTTTGCCTCACCTGCTTGCATATACAGTCAGGTCCATAAATATTGGGACATCGACACAATTCTAACATTTTTGGCTCTATACACCACCACAATGGATTTGAAATAAAACAAACAAGATGTGCTTTAACTGCAGACTGTCAGCTTTAATTTGAGGGTATTTACATCCAAATCAGGTGAACGGTGTAGGAATTACAACAGTTTGCATATGTGCCTCCCACTTGTTAAGGAACCAAAAGTAATGGGACTATTGGCTTCTCAGCTGTTCCATGGCCAGGTGTATGTTGTTCCCTCATTATTCCAATTACAATGAGCAGATAAAAGGTCCAGAGTTCATTTCAAGTGTGCTATTTGCATTTGGAATCTGTTGCTGTCAACTCTCAAGATGAGATCCAAAGAGCTGTCACTATCAGTGAAGCAAGCCATCATTAGGCTGAAAAAACAAAACAAAAACCATCAGAGAGATAGCAAAAAACATTAGGCGTGGCCAAAACAACTGTTTGGAACATTCTTAAAAAGAAAGAACGCACCGGTGAGCTCAGCGACACCAAAAGACCCGGAAGACCACGGAAAACAACTGTGGTGGATGACCAAAGAATTCTTTCCCTGGTGAAGAAAACACCCTTCACAAACAGTTGGCCAGATCAAGAACACTCTCCAGGAGGTAGGTGTATGTGTGTCAAAGTCAACAATCAAGAGAAGACTTCACCAGAGTGAATACAGAGGATTCACCACAAGATGTAAACTATTGGTGAGCCTCAAAAACAGGAAGGCCAGATTAGAGTTTGCCAAACGACATGTAAAAAAGCCTTCACAGTTCTGGAACAACATCCTATGGACAGATGAGACCAAGATCAACTTGTACCAGAGTGATGGGAAGAGAAGAGTATGGAGAAGGAAAGGAACTGCTCATGATCCTAAGCATACCACCTCATCAGTGAAGCATGGTGGTGGTAGTGTCATGGCGTGGGCATGTATGGCTGCCAATGGAACTGGTTCTCTTGTATTTATTGATGATGTGACTGCTGACAAAAGCAGCAGGATGAATTCTGAAGTGTTTCGGGAATATTATCTGCTCATATTCAGCCAAATGCTTCACAACTCATTGGACGCCGCTTCACAGTGCAGATGGACAATGACCCAAAGCAGACTGCAAAAGCAACCAAAGAGTTTTTTAAGGGAAAGAAGTGGAATGTTATGCAATGGCCAAGTCAATCACCAGACCTGAATCCGATTGAGCATGCATTTCACTTGCTGAAGACAAAACTGAAGGGAAAATGCCCCAAGAACAAGCAGGAACTTAAGACAGTTGCAGTAGAGGCCTGGCAGAGCATCACCAGGGATGAAACCCAGCGTCTGGTGATGTCTATGCGTTCCACACTTCAGGCTGTAATTCACTGCAAAGGATTTGCAACCAAGTATTAAAAAGTGAAAGTTTGATTTATGATTATTATTCTGTCCCATTACTTTTGGTCCCTTATCAAGTGGGAGGCACATATGTAAACTGTTGTAATTCCTACACTGTTCACCTGATTTGGATGTAAATACCCTCAAATTAAAGCTGACAGTCTGCAGTTAAAGCACATCTTGTTCGTTTAATTTCAAATCCATTGTGGTGGTGTATAGAACCAAAAATGTTAGAATTGAGTCAATGTCCCAATATTTATGGACCTGACTGTATATATATACTCCAATTAGCAGGGCCCTCCTATCCCTCTTGTATTGAACTGTATTGTTGCTGTATTGTCTCCCGTTATATTGTAAAGCGCTGAGCAAACTGTTGGTGCTATATAAATCCTGTATAATAATTATATATATATATATATATACACAGTGAAGAAAATAAGTATTTGATCCCCTGCTGATTTTGAATGTTTGCCTACTCACAAAGAAATGATCAGTCTAAAGATCAAATGGTAGGTGTATTGGAACACTGAGAGACAGAATAGCAACAACAAATTCAAAAGAAATGCAAGTCTAACAAATTATGCACTGATTTGCATGTTCATGAGGGAAATAAGTATTTGATCCCCTTCACAAAACATGACTTAGTACTTGGTGGTAAATCCCTTGTTGGTAATCACAGAGGTCAGACGTTACCTGTAGTTGGCCACCAAGGTGTCCGTTTGTGAACCAGCGGTAAAGATCGCTGCTCAGTTCTCCGGCATTCTCGGAGAACACAGTTCTCCTGCGAATACAGTTTATGAAGCAGTTCTCCGAACGAAGGGAGAACGGTCTCCAAACGCTAAACAGAGGTAAACTATCTCTGCTTAGTTTTCGGTCCCTCTGATTCTCCAGCTCTGGGCTGGAGAATCTGGGGGGAGAACACAGATCTCCAGAGAAGGGCTGACATGATCTCCTGAGTGTCATAAACTGTGAATGACCAGAGAATAGCTGAGATCTGTTGAATCGCAGCTATTCTCTGTGTCATAAACAGACACCCAAGTTTGCACACATCTCAGGAGGGATTTTGGCCCACTCCTCTTGGCAGATCCTCTCCAAGACATTAAGGTTTGGAGGCTGACATTTGGCAAATCGAACGTTCAGCTCCCTCCACAACATTCAAAATCAGCAGGGGATCAAATACTTATTTCCTTCACTATATATATATATATATATATACACACACACACTGTATAGACCTGTATATAATCAATGAAATTCTGAATGATGACACTAACATAAACTGCCACTAGATGTCACTGTTTCTCTTATTAACAGCACAAATGGCACATTTCTCTGTCTTGTATATCACCCAGGTCTGTGTTTCTCAACTTTTTTCCAGTCAAGGCAAATTCTGCACAATCTCCAGGAACCCAATTCTAAAATGTAAAAAACTTATAGTTTTACATAATGCAGCAGCATCCACACACTTAGAACACCCAATGTTAGAGGTGATATATTCTTCCAAAGCAAATTACACTTTTGCACACTGGGTACTAGTTTATATGCCAATGTTTCTCTTCTCCCTCAGTTTCTCTCCCTCACCCAGGTAATGTGACCCCAGTGCTGATGGAGAGAGGCAAGGGAGGGCAAGCAAGAATGCTGTGCAGGCGTTCAATGTCCTTCTTATCAACTGCTGATGTCATTGGTTGTTAGGATGCTGGTGGCTAGAAGTTTGTGATGGTGCACAATGAAAATCTATGGCTTTGTGCAGGGGCGGACTGACAACTCATGGGGCCCCCGGGCAATAGGGGATCATGGGGCCCCTGTGTCCTTGCCCAAACTCAAAAAAGCCTATGAAAAAGGTACCAGGGGCATCTCATGGGGCCCCCTACTGACCCGGGCCCTTGGACAGTGCCCGAGTTTCCAAATGGTCAGTCCACCCCTGGCTGTGTGCAACTAAAATGCAGGTTTGATCCACGGCTGGCTTGTATATATATTTTAGGCATTTTGCCAAAGCATCCCGAATAAACCCAAAAGCACCCTAGGGTGTCTGGGTACCCTGTTTGAAAAAGGCTGGCCTAATTCTTTCTCAAACTTTCTAACACAGAGGAATGCTAGATATAACTTTAAGGTCTCAGGGAACCCCTGGTAATAATTACTATATCTACAGCTCAGGGCACATTAGCATGAAAAGTAATTTGCTCTCTACAACAAAATTATTTTTGGTAGTAATAATGAAATAATGTCCAGAAATGAAATGCAGACAATACAAATTGTAAGATGGTTAAAGGAGAATTTCCCCCTTATATTGGTGATCAGTGAATTAAACCTCTTACATTGGTGGATAGTGGGAGAGGGACCAGCTGACATTGGTGAACATTGGGAGAGGGACCACCTTGCTTTCTAATTGTTTGCCATGCTGCACAGTCCTGGATGGTCACTAGGGAGAAATGCCCCCCTACACTGGTGATCAGTGGATGGAAGGGCCAAGTATACTGGCTGTCAGTTAGAAGAATGACACATTGGTGGTCAGTGGTTTGAATGCCCACTTACATTGGGGGTTAGCAGGAAGAAGAACCTCATTAAACCGGCAGTTAGTGGAAAGAATGTACACCTTACAGATATCTAAAATGATCATTGCTATGAGTGGTTACTTACTGGAAATGCAGAAATTGCTCAGTCCTTGATGAACGTGCCCGTCTATAGGATTAAATGGACTGCCCGATCAGGTTCACCTGAAAAACTGACAGGCGGACCTGATCGGACCCATCGTGTGAAGGTGTCAATGAATTGCAGCTAAATAGATAATAGTTCTTCAGCTTGTTAAAAATAATCTTTTTAGGTCTCATCCACATTGGCATGCCTAGGTTTGTTTTTTCTAAACACTGGAAGAGTAATTTGGGACAAATCAACCAGCTTTTATGTGTACAAGATCACTTTTCCCTGTCCTGCTGTAAAGCCCTGATTTTAGACATGTTAGGCCATTGTTTAGATGCATTTACATGCTTTTAACTGCATTTAGAGTGTCTAATCAGATCATGCTGGCCCAAAATTCTATTTTCTCTAAACAAAGCTAAACTGCCTGCACCTACATACAGGTAAAGACACAGTGTGAGTGGCTCCAGTGAAAAATCATTACATGTGTTTATATGCATTTATAAATGCCTTCTAAACCCATATAAACCAAAGTTTGACAGTGCCAGTGTGAATGAGGCCTTATGACAAAAATGTCATCACACCTAATGTTAGTCATTGATGGCTTAAATTATGACCATTAAGCCCACATGAGTCAGAGAGAATATCACTCGATTCCCCCATCTACTGTCAGCTCTTTTGCACTTGGGCAGTCGCATAATGCATGGCTGCTAGTGCTGCTGAACAGTGACTGCCTCAGCTGAACATTTCTGTTCATGTGAATGGTTAAAAAAGGGGAAAATGAGCATTGAGATTTTCTTTTCTTGGTGGGATTCTTACTTTCAGGTCAGGTTTTCCAATCTACCCAGTTGACTGTTCACCTAGACAGGCACCCTGGGGTGACTTTAGGTTTCTTCAGGAGTGCCTTGACAAAATGTCTAAAAATGCCCACAAATTGTATACAAGCCAGCATATGGATCAAGCCTGCCTTTTAGGGCTTGTTCACACTTGACTTCTTCCCAAATGCCCCTACAGTGTTAGACAGGGATTAGGCAGGTGTTTAATGAGCTTTGTATGGGCGTTTTACAAGCATTAAAAATGCTCCCCAAAAGCCCTATGCATGTTTTTGAGGTGTTTTATAGGCGTTCTGCAAGCGTTGAAACCGCACCGTGAATGTTTATAATGAACTTAATGGTATTAACGCCCCACAACCGCCTAGCAAACGTCCCACAAATGCCTGCCAGGCGTTTGAGGAGCGTCACCATAGACTTGATGTGTTGAAAGGCTTCAACTCCTCCTGACTCAACATGAGGTGTCAATTTTGACGCGACGCTAACGCTTCAGTGTGAACAGCACCCTGAGCTGCCATGTGTATCAATTTTATAGGCGTTTGAGGAGCGTTAAAAACGCCCATCAAACACCTGCTTTCAATGCTAGTGTCAACTGAACCTAAGTTACACAAAGCCACAAGTTTTTATTGCTCAGCATTATAACATTTTAGCTGCCTGCATCCTAACAACCACTGACATCTTAAATTGATAAGGAGGACATCGGGTGCCTGCTTGGCTTTCTTGCTTGGCCCTCCCTTGTCCCTCTGTGTCAACACTTGGGGTCACATTAGCAGTGTGAATGAGAAGAGAAACATTGGAATACTAGTCAGTACCAATGCCAGTGTACAAAGGTGTATTTACTTTAGAAGAATAAATCACCTCTAACTTTGGGTGTCCTGCATGTATTGAACTTCTGCGATACGTAAAATTAAAAATTTTTTACATATTAGAATGGGGTGCCTTGAGATTGTACATAATTTTAAAGGGTACCTTGAATTTTAAAGGGTACCTTGTACAGGCAATTGCAAATTAATCTACAGTAAAAAAAAAAAAAAAGATCTCTAGAAAGTTATTATGTGAACTGGAAAAAAATGTTGAGAAACACTGACGTGGACGATGGTTTTCCACTGAGGTCACCAGCCTATTATAGACATGAGATTGTCACCTGTTCTAGCTGATGTATCCATACCTGTGTTAGCTATATGCCACAGAAAAGCGATTGTTAATAAGTGGCCACCAGTAATTGAATATGTGTTGGTGCTCCTCAGCTTGATGCAAAAAAAGATGGATTTCAAACAAATGTATATCATTCAGAAGATAATGCAAAAAATAATAATGAAAATCTCACTCTATTTTGTCTTTAGGTACCTTGGCAGGTGTTATCGACTTAGCTGTGGACTGGATGACTGATCTGAAAGAAGGGATTTGTCTGAACGACTTTTGGTACAGTCATGAACAGTGCTGCTGGGCTTCAAACGAGGCCACGTTTGAAGACAGGGATAAATGTCCTCAATGGCAGACATGGTCGGAACTGCTGATAACTAAGGCAGAGGTAAAGCAATGGCTTTTCTGACAGATCGCCCGATGTAGTTATTATTCCCTTCCTTTTCAATTGCCAAATGGTTCACATAATAACTTTCTAGAGATCTTTTTTTTTACTGTAGATTAATTTGCAATTGCCTGTACAGAGAAATTATTTGGCAGGAGTTATTTCACAGGGAGCAACATAACTTCATTCACCACAGAATCTTGGACAATATACATTCTCCAGCAGTCAGTGCTGTACATTTCCAACGCTACAGTGTTGGACAGAACTTGCTGATTAAGCTTCATGTATGCTCGCTATTTATTTGCACTAGCCATTCTTAAGCCTGGTACACACAGAAAGTTTTTTATCGTTCAGCCCAGCAGACTAAATGAAAAAAAAAAATTGAGGAGCTTGCGAGGAGGTCTCTGTATTAACAATGCAACATTAGTAGAGCAATCTCCCTGTTGAGCTGCTGTGTTCTGATAGGGAAGCTGGCTGCGAGATTGGCTTCTGTCAAACAAGGAAATGTACACATGAGCCGAATGTCAGCTATCTGACATTCTGCAGCAGCTAATTATGGCTGATATTCAAGCTGTGCGTACAGGGTTTAAAATGAACCAAACAACCTGAAAGGTGACCAATCAAAGCTGTTCTCATTGTCATTGCCATGAAAATATCACCAATGAATTTGGAGCTTGGGGAGGGGATCATGACAACTAATTAAACCAAATATAATTAAAGTGTATGTATCTTTTTTAAATATTGTATTGGGAACCAATGAAGTACAATATCTAATTTTGTCCCCACCAGAAAGATCCACCCTCTTTATTTGGCCTGGTAATCATTGTTTCCAGTAGAGAAAGTGATGGGCAATCCAAAATTTTAGAGTTGTTACAGAAGCAGGAGGGAAGGTTAAATCTTCCAGTGGGGACATCTGTTCAAGTAACAACTAAAAAGGGATTCCTCTCAAGTTTGAGACATTTCCTCTTACTTTTTGTTGTATCTCTTGGGCAGGAAGTGAAGGGAAATCTTCTTGGTGGGACACTGACAGCAAAAAAAAAAAATAAATCAGTTTCTGCCCACCTTTCCCCCTCAGCTGCCATTCTTGCCTAGGTGAGAATGCCATTTCCAATGCTGTGAAGCCTCCTAGGATATGCATTGTGACGGGAGTCATCTTGGGTGGGTGGCTCATGGAACCCAGCTTACTTTGAAGAGGTTGGGAGACCCCTGTCTCAGCTCCCCATATCCCTCTTATGTGCAAGTCACCCTGTGTCTCTTAGGGGCACAGGGTGACTAATGGACGCTGAGAATGCAGTTGGAATTACTTCAGATGGGACAGTAATATTTATCAGCCATATGAAGACTATTCCTGGTTGTTGATTCTGAACTAGACATGTGAATTGAAGGTGCTGGACTGTCTGCTCTGTAGTGAGATCCTAATTCATCAAACCATTGTCTAGGTGTGAGTTCCCATTCACCTTTTGTTTAGGTCACCCAGCTAGCTAACCTAATTAACTTACTGTTTAGAGTGTTAAGTCTATTTCTGTATATAGCTGCGTTTGCATGTGATCAGTCTCAGTGTGTATTGTATAAAAAGCCTGTTTGAATTTAAAATAAAGAGTTCCATGTACAGACAGACTGGTGTCATCTAGTCTTGTATGGTCAGCTGTGGTGTCTGTTGTCGGTGTTTAGACGGGGAAGTGGTATTCTAATGGAAGTACTCAAGTGTAGTCTGGGTTGGTTCCGTTACATGCATGTGAAATACTGTACATAAGTTGGAGGAGGACCAGCCTGGTGGTGACATCATTGATGTCAGAATCAAAGATGGCGGCAGTGCCAACCCAAAGTCAATAAAAGTGTTATTTCAGCCTTGTTACCCTGACAATTGCTGAGGGTTATTGGTTGGGGTTATCATTGCTGGCCCTGAGATTTGCTGGGGGCTATCATTGCTGGCCCCAGTGGAACATATTTTACTCCCACAATCTCTTCAGTGTACAGTCAGACCGTATTTTGTCTAAACAAAGGTAAATGTGCCATACAAGTCATACTCCATGAAGAAACACAGACTTTATTGGACATGGCCATTTATAGCCATGCCCAAAAGTGAGTGGCACATTTGCTCCCCTCATTTATACTCCAAGCACCAGCAAATCACACCCCCCAAAAAATTGTCTGAAGTTGTGCCTGCCTTTTTTATTTCTGTTTTGCATACTTTTTTATATTGCTTCTTGAGAATTATGTTTTTTTTCTGTAGCGTACAAGTTTTTACAGTTTCCTAAAAAGCATTAGTTTTAGTAAGGTAATAATGTTCATTTTTATACTTTGGAACAATAAAAATATATACCACCAAGCACTGGTGAAATATTGCAATTTTGTAATAACATGTATTTTCTAGCAAAGGTTTAGGAACAAAAATAACATCAAACTGAGGAACATTTATGTACTTGTTACTGACCGTGAAGCTTCAGTTCGCATTAAGCTGTTTCATGCAGTGATAATGCCTCTAGTATATGGATGTAAAATGGAAAGATGCAATGACTGACATTAGAAGACTGAACCTGACAGGCCTTTTGAATGATCTGCATCCTGCTAGCTAGTATTATGCACACTTTATTGGCAGATGAGCTGATAAAATATATACCTTAGCTTAGCAGCATGCATGTTACAGTGACATTTAGTAATAAATCTATCAAGTCACTCAGATAGAACAGAGCTAATGGAGTACATGACTGAGAAAGATAACAGGAGACAGAGGAATCAGCTGCTGTCATTGTATATTATATTTCCTGGATTTAGTGTCTTTAAAAGGGACCTGACTGCATGTAAATATGGAAACTGTAACTCTGACAGTCTCTGCCTGATGTTATGCATCTCCCAGCTTCTGAGTTTGAGGTCAGCTTAAAGGCAGAGACCATCAGACTTCAGGTTACCTCTGAACCCTGTCATTGCAGTTAAAATGTCCACATCAGACAAAAGAAGAAAAAAACTATAACACAACAATATATTTTTTTCAAAACAAAATCTACAATCTAAACTATATCCAACGTGAGCCCACCTGGTTCATTTTTAATGTTTGTAATTTCTGCTTATAATTTTCCATCATGGCTTTCATTTCATACAGAAATCAAAGGGTCTGGGTGCTAATGACAATAATTCCCATTCTTCCCCTAAAACACATTCAACCCATGCATAATATATTTATAATAAATGAACAGTACCAAGCTGTGTGGAACAAAAAAAACATTATGGTCATAGATGCGGGCCCAATAGAATTACTTTACGGTTAGGCACATAACTGAAACTCAATCCTGGTCCCTATTCTATTATTTGAATCAGGCAATTACCTTGCACTGCAAGAACATTACAAAGCAATGATCGTGAAAGTTAGTAGGCAAAGCATTATGCAAAACAGAAATTAATTTTACGAACTATTTTTCTGCAACTTTAACTGTAATGTGGATGCAATAGGTATACACAGATTAGGTGGCCCAAAGATATTACATTTGTATCTTCCAACTCGTTTTTCTTTACAGGTACAGACTGTTATAGAGCACTTTAGAAGAAGCTCTCAGGGACACCTAGTTAATGAAAAAGTGTATTGACCATCTTCGACATGCAGTATATGGTCAGTAGACCATTGCTCTCTTTGCAGAGATCTGAGAATTAGCATGGTGAACTGGGGGCTATTACAATCCCCAAATACCACTGCACTGGTCACCATTAGTTGTTTTTTTGGAATATATTTAGTACTACAGCTAGTTGTCAGCAGTAAGCATACATATGAGGACTATACCTGCAAAGGGTTGATTGGTAAGACATGCTTAATCATCCATTGTTGCAGGGCATTGTAAGAACCATTGAAGCCTTTACATTATCCACCTTCTGCTTTCAGAGTTGATGATGGGTGATCTTGCAGAACACCCCCGGAACATGCTGCAAAGCAAGTCTGACTGGCAGACTGTATTGAGTAATATTGGGGGGTTTATTGCTTTGTGTGTCCCCATTGGGGACCCAATAGGAAGTTGAGCTGGCCATAAACCTAAACTGTGTGGATGTATGAATCTCCTGTGCCAGTAATTGTATTCTGACAGCCAGCTCCAGTGGCTGTCAGAATTCCTATCAAGTACCAGTATCTGATTGGCACTGTTTGTTCGGCAATTTTCTTAGTTCTTCTCTGGCAATGGACAAGCTTTTCTACTGTTGTACAGAGGACAATCTACTTCTGATCATCTTCTGAACAACTAGCCTGCCCCATACCTGGATTGAAATTCGGATGGTCCCTGCTGAACAGGCCAAATTTTGGTCCATGTATGGCCAGCTTTAGCACAACTTTTGTATTGCACCTGGAATGTATTTAGCTGGTTTAAACTGAAATTTAATTTGGACTTCAGTGTACTTTGGTATTTCTATAGGTTTTCAATAGTATCTAAATACTGACACAACCATTTATGCAGAGGTTCAGCCTGCTTGTTTGAAAACCCATACCTATTCTCATTATTACCAGCCAAAACCAGACCATACAGCACAACTATCAATATCACTATAATTTTCTGCTGTGTTTTTGGTGCCTTTGTTTTATGCTTTTTTTCTATTGCTGCTACTGCTACTGCTTCTTGTTGTAATGCTGTTTATGGTTGCTTTTGACAGTAAGATTAACTATTATTATTTTCACTGTCTTTCAGGGAGCCAGCGCATATATTTTAAATTATTTCCTCTATATTTTGTGGGCTCTGCTTTTTGCTTTCTTGGCGGTGGCTTTGGTTCGAGTGTTTGCTCCATATGCCTGTGGCTCCGGAATTCCTGAGGTGAGATCTTAATGATAACTCCTGACATTTTTACGTTATTCCTTCTGCCTTTAGTCTTCCTCAAGAGTAGAATATAGTTAAATTCTTTTAAAAGATATGTGTAAATTTATCGTGAAATGTTTTATGTCTTTTCCGTGGATGAGCAGATATTAATCACAAGCTGCAATGAATTTCAAGGAAGTCTGACATTGCAGGACTCTTCCTGAAAATTGTTGGGCTTACATGTTGATCTTTTGGACTCCTTCTGAGTCCTTCTGAGTCATTGACCTGAGATGACGAGCAAGCATATAAGTAGTTCTGAATTTAATAATTTTTAGGCTCCGTATATACTCAGGGTAAGTGAATCAAAAGGTATTCAAATGTATCCAAATGAAAGGACAAAAAATTATTGTACTGTAGCATGTCAGTCCTCTTGTGTGTGTGGAGGAGGGGATAGAGCTAATAGGGGCACGCATAGTGTGCCACTCTGAAATGTGTGTAATGTTTGTGGGAAAGGGGTTAAAGGGCTCTAAGGATGGAAATAGGATAAAAGCTCTTGAGGGTGTTCTGAGGAGGAGAGAGGAGGCCTGGGGCCTAGTTGTCCCCCTTTGCTCTATGTACTCACTCAGTTTAGACCTCCTTCTCAGCATGGCACCACTGAGAATGAAGGCAGCTTCCCCTTCTCCCTATTTCTGGGCATGTGATATGTCTGCCCTCACCCCCCAGCAGCACTATGCTGAGCCAAAGGCGTGATCTCATCAGGCACCCACTCTCTTCTGTCCACAACAGGCTGCTATTGGAAGGAGAAGAGAGGAGACTCCTCCCTCCAGCAGCTATCAAGGCCCTTGCTCCTTCTGACAGGATTGATGCTGAAGACCCTCCTGTCAGTGAGGTGCCTGGGAACGAAATGTCCAAACCTCTCAGCATGCTTCCGCACCACATATCAACACTGCTCCAGGGGCACGTGCCCCTTCTGCCTCCCCTCCCCTTCCTTGTCCCAGTCCTGCTTAAATGTAGTGGATGCATTAGTTTCCTTTTTTTTCAGGCTTTATTTCCTTTTTTCACACCTAGTGATCCTCCCAGCAACACATGTCCCATACTTTACCTGTAGAGCAGCAGTGTTGTCACCCTAGTACTGGATAGCAGAACACCTTCCCCTTGTCTCTTCTCCTTTATATAAGATAATGTATTTTGTGGTCCACAGAGTTGTAAACAATGTAATTGATAGGAGTGCAGAACAGGCACCACATAGGAAGTTATCCAGCCAAAATGTGTGTTTACCAGACTGAAATAGAACAAATAAGAGAGGTTAGTTGAAGGGTTTACATACACTTTAAGCTAGAGACAGCCAGGCACCTTACATTTGTGCATACACGTTTGACCATTCTTGTAGATTTATGAATGCTGTTAGAGGAAGACACAGCAGTCTGTATGGAGCCCACACAGCAGTACATATTTATGACTTTTTTTTACTGCGGGCACTTATGAACTGACACAGACATTATCATACTGTATTTCTGAAAGATAATTGTCAAACAAAGAAGATGATGGATTCTCAGACCTTTTTGTTTTGGATAGAGTAAGGGAGTGTGAAAACCTCTGGCTAGTTTTCTTTTTTTGTTTTCTGTGGCTCTGCTGGAGAGATTAATACTATTTTCCACTGTCAATCCAAAATATCACAATTCTTACCAAAACAGGAGGCGAGGAAAAATCTTCTATTGTCTTTGGAAAGATGTCTTCTCACTTCCTGTTGTGCCTCTGGTACAAGAAGTAAAGGAATATCCCTAATGGAACAAGATAGGAAAAAAAGGATTTAGAAATTTCTTACTCATTCAACTAATAATTTCATCTTATTCAACACTAAAAATGTTTTGGCTTTGGATATACTTTAAAGCTTAATTCTGGAAGTCTTGAAAACTTTCCCGTGTGGTGAGGTTGTAACCCACTGCAAAGGAGAATCTCCAGATTACCTGAAGTTGTGTTTTAAAACCCTAAAGGTTAGATTACATTATTTTTTGGTGTGACCTAACTCAATTCAAAGAATATGGGACATTAAGGATGAGCGTAAAGTGCTCACTAATAACATTGGAGTACATTTTTTAACCTCTTTGCGCCGGCCGCATGCAAACGTGCGGCCTCCCGGCGTCTGAGCCTTGAGGCCGAGCGGCCGTACATTTGCGTGCAATTAAGAGAAACATATGTGCTGAGAGTTCTCACCCTGCGCGCTCCCAACACACATGTCCGGTACTCAGGGAAAGGTCCCAATCTCCTCTTTCGATCAGGATCTTTCCCGATCATGTGACCGCCATGACGGTAAATCACAGCAGTCACATGACCCTAAAACCCTGCCCCACCTCCCAGCTTCTGAAACCCTTAAAGGGCCAGGAGGCGCCGGTGCCAACGGGTTAAAAATATATATTTTATTCGCAAAATAACAATAATCATAACATTTATAAATATACAACATAATAAACATAATGTAAAACACAAGAGGCCACATAAAAAAAAAAATTAATATGGATCTGATTTCAAAAAGTGAACATTCGCTATGCTGTAAGCAACATTTGCAATTGTTGATTATGCCTAAGGCATAACCTGATATGTTTTTTACATCTTGACTCAAATTCCTCATGAAGAATAACAGTACATGTGCCCTGGCACAGCTTCCAACCTCATAGTTGTGTTTCCCATACTCTGAGATCTCAGGAACTACTGCAATTACCTGCTAGTCTCAAAAGATTTGGAGTGAGATTTGGTGATGTCACTACTATACAGCTCACTGTTCTCTTTTCTGCAGGCTGTGACATCAGAGAGCAAAATCCTGTCTCTACCAAGTAGTCTACCTCCACACAGAAATAGTACAGAATAAGGCATGGCAAGCCAGTAAGGGGCAGAAAAATCACCTGCAGGGAGACCGTAAGCAATGCTGGCACTAGTGCTTTGCCCTCTGGCTACCTTTTTTTTTGGACACAGCTTCTTCAGTACAGGTCTTTTTTAATTTAACATTTTTAAATTAACATTGGTCTTTGCAACACTAGAATTTTATATCTATTCATTTATGCATTCCATCCAAAAATAATCCATTTCTTTCTGCTATTCGACACTAATTCTTCTGGTTTCAGATACTCTGCCCACCAAAGCGGAGAATTTAATCAGACTTTGAATATCATGAATTCAAGATTCTTGTATTGACGTCAAAGAAGGATTAAATTATTTTAACCATGGAGGGAGTCCTACATTGTCTGGGCATACTAACAGATCTCAAAGACTTTAGGAGTGATATACGAGTGCAATTTGTTCAAAAAAGTGGAATAATAGCATTAATATGAAAATATGAAATGAAGGTGCCAAGATCTAAGTCTGCCACCAATAAAAGTACACTATTTGCCTATACAGAAATAATGCTGAACATTTTTCTTTTTATTTGCCAAAAGATCTAAACCTCTTTGTTATGTTTCACCTTTTATTTGCATTTAGATAAAAACCATTCTGAGTGGCTTCATCATAAGAGGATATCTAGGAAAGTGGACGCTGTTAATAAAAACGGTAACATTAGTTCTCGTTGTGTCCTCTGGTTTAAGTCTTGGAAAGGAAGGACCATCAGTTCATGTAGCCTGTTGTTGTGGCAACTTTTTCTGCAGCTTGTTCTCCAAGTACAGCAAAAATGAAGGAAAAAGGAGGGAAGTAAGTTGATTTATGAAAGGAAAAATGTGAATTCATTATCCCCTATGAAAGTTCTGTCTTAACCTGGTGATATATTTGTGTCACAGGTGCTTTCGGCTGCAGCTGCAGTAGGAGTCTCTGTTGCTTTTGGAGCTCCAATTGGCGGTGTTCTTTTCAGTTTGGAAGAGGTACTGTGCATTTCTTTTAACTGTTATTGTTCTGTAAATTGAAACTGATGGTGCTGACGTCAATGAAAAATTCCAAACCATTGTGCTTTTGCTTGCCTTGAATATTTAAACATTATTCAGTTAGAACTACATGTGTGCATGTGTGTGTGTGTGTGTATATATATATATATATATATATATATATATATATATATATATATATACAGTATCTCAATGAAGTGAGTACACCCCTCACTTTTTTGTAAATATTTTATTATATCCTTTCATGTGACAACACTGATGAAATGACACTTTGCTACAATGTAAAGTAGTGAGTGTACAGCTTGTATAACAATGTAAATTTACTGTCCCCTCAAAATAACTCAACACAGCCATAAATGCCTAAACCGCTGGCAACAAAAGTGAGTACACCCCTAAGTGAAAATGTCCAAATTAGGCCCAATTAACCATTTTCCCTCTCCGGTGTCATGTCACTCATTACAAGGTCTCATGTCACTCAGTGTTACAAGGTCTGAGGTGCGAATGGGGAGCAGGTGTGTTAAATTTGGTGTTATCGCTCTCACTCTCTAATACTGGTCACTGGAAGTTCAACATAGCACCTCATGGCAAAGAACTCTCTGAGGATCTGAAAAAAAAAGAATTGTTGTTCTACATAAAGATGGCCTAGGCTATAAGAAGATTGCCAAGACCATGAAACTGAGCTTCAGCATGGTGGCCAAGACCATACAGTGGTTTAACAGGACAGGTTCCACTCAGAATAGGCCTCGTCATGGTCGACCAAAGAGGTTGAGTGCACGTGCTCAGCGTCATACCCAGAGGTTGCCTTTGGGAAATAGAAGTATGAGTGCTGCCAGCATTGCTGCAGAGGTTGAAGGGGTGGGGGGTCAGCCTGTCAGTGCTCAGATCATACGCTGTACACTGCATCAAATTGGTCTGCATGACTGTTATCCCAGAAGGAAGCCTCTTCTAAAGATGATGCACAAGAAAGCCCGCAGTTTGCTGAAGATAAGCAGATTAAGGGCATGGATTACTGGAACCATGTCCTGTGGTTTGATTAGACCAAGATAAACGTATTTGGTTCAGATGGAGTCAAGCGTGTGTGGCAGCAACCAGGTGAGGAGTACAAAGACAAGTGTGTCTTGCTTACAGTCAAGCATGGTGGTGGGAGTGTCATGGTCTGGGGATGCATGAGTGCTGCCAGCACTGGGGAGCTACAGTTCATTGAGAGAACCATGAATGCCAACATGTACTGTGACATACTGAAGCAGAGCATGATCCCCTCCCTTCGGAGACTGGGCTGCAGGGCAGTATTCCAACATGATAACGACCCCAAACACACCTCCAAGACGACGACTGCCTTGCTAAAGAAGCTGAGGGTAAAGATGATAGACTGGCCAAGCATGTCTCCAGACCTAAACCCTATTGAGCATCTGTGGGGCATCCTCAAACGGAGGAGCGTAAGGTCTCTAACATCCACCAGCTCCGTGATGTTTTAATGGAGGAGTGGAAGAGGACTCCAGTGGCAACCTGTGAAGCTCTGGTGAACTCCATGCCCAAGAGGGTTAAGGCAGTGCTGGAAAATAATGGTGGCCACACAAAATATTGACACTTTGGGCCCAATTTGGACGTTTTCATTTAGGGGTGTACTCACTTTTGTTGCCAGCGGTTTTAGACAATAATGGCTGTGTGTTGAGTTATATTGAGGGGACAGCAAATTTAAACTGTTATACAGGCTGTACACTCACTACTTTACATTGTAGCAAAATGTAATTTCTTCAGTGTTGTCACATGAAAAGATATAATAAAATATTTACAAAAATGTGAGCGGTGTACTCACTTCTGTGAAATTATATATATATATATATATATATATATATATATATAAATTGTAAACATTAATAGAGTCAGTTGTAGTTGCTTTCCTTTTCCTATGAACTCAAGTCCACAGGCTGGCTTCAGTGAAACATTTAAGAAAACAAAACATTGTGTTTATTGTTTGCTCAGCTGTGAATTGGTAATCATGTCTTCTAGCGCTTGTTTGCATTGCAGAGTTAGAAGACCTCTGCATTTCTACACTGGAGGGGAGGTAAATGACTACATACAGTATTATGAGCAGCAGTAAATTAATGGTTCTTCAGTGGGGAAATTTGGAATCTTATGATAGGGAGTTATGAAACAGAAAGCTGTAACAAATGGAAAATATGTAAACTGTATTGTATGTAACAGATGGAAGGTAAATATTAGAAACACAAAGGCGCATGGAAAATCACTGACCAGATATTGGTCAGAAACCAAAGCATGACATTACAGAAGACCTGCACAGCATTGTGGCTTTGTTCACAATATCATCTTTTTACTCCATGCATACTTTTGAGTGCCCAGATGTTCTAAGGATATCAGGGTAACTGATATGGGCAGCATGAGGATAATTAGAGTGACAGGGTGTTATTGCACCCCGTTTGCATTTTAAAAGGTAATTCCACTTTTACAGTAAAATTTGAGAAAACCACACGATATGTTTGTTATGTGTTCCCATTCATTTGGATCACCTAAAAACATTTTATTTTTAATATTCCTTACAATTTAGATTTTTCAAAAGAGAAGGTATCATGACTGATTCTAAGAATATTTGGAGAGTCTCAGATTGACTCTGTCCCAACACAGACTCTAGCTATCCCTCATTAACATACAATGCAAGAGGGTGATTTCAACATTTTTAACCCTTTGTTAGGACAGACAGTTTCCAAATCTAGTTTACAGCTGAAAATGAAGAACTGCAAACACAGTACAGACAGGGTGAATTATGTAAAACATTTCTCCACAACCCCCTCCTTAACATTATAAAGCAGGGAGAGCATATAAGGTTAACCGCTTCCACGACACCCTATAGCAGAAATACTGCTACAGGGCAGCATGGGTGCGCAATATCACGTATATATACTTGATTGTGCAGCTCCAGGTAGGGGGTGCGCGGCGCCCTACCCGCACTGCTATTCCCGAGTCCTGGTTGGTGATTCCCCGCTGGGGGAATTTCCCCCCCCCCCCCGTATTGTAAACAATACAGATTTCTCCCCTGTCCGCTCCTACACACTGCTTTGTATGTCTCTCCCTGGGTTAAGTTACCCAAGCAATTAACCCTTTAAGCTACCACCACCACCTTTTGACTAAGAAGGTGGAAACTCACAATCATAGCGAGAGCAAATATGAAAAATAAATGTCTGTACACACTCTGTCACCACAGACAGGTATATTCAGAGATTTTTTATATACAGTAGCACTCTTCAAGAGACAGGGATTCCTTAGTTTACATTAAAAGCCTTAGGGACAATTTCAACACTTTCCAAAATAGGGTTTAATAATGAAAAGGTCAAACTGCTTCATAATGGATATAGATATGACAGGTCTCAGAGATCTATTTCTCATACGGGGGGTGTGGAGGCCTACTACATTCTAATACCTCCTAGCATCAGGATCATCAAAATGCTAGCCAATTTGACTTTATTCTGGCTATACTGTCATAATTTCAGAGGTTGGGAAACATGCTAAAGTGTTAAGAGTCTTGGCTGATAAGCAGTCTATCAGAAATGTGTATTCCACAAACTTTCACTAAGGTATTTATGGCCCAGGGTCTGTTAGTTCTCTGGTATTGCTCAAGCTTGGGAAGGTGACAGTTTTATTAGGGTTTCCAGTCTGGAATGGTGGATTGGGCTAATAAGCATGAGAGGGTCTGTATCTATCCTGGTCTGATAAGAAGGCTCTGGCTTTTACAGTTGTGTATTGCAAAAGAGGCTTTCTGGGGGATGAAGAGAAGGGAACCATTGCTGCTATTCACCAACTTGTGTTACAAACTGTCCTGGCTGACATCTGAACATGCCATCCTTGCCCTTTTACACAACTGTGAGGGCTCAGTACACGTTCAGATTACAGTTACATCTTCTCTTTTTGTCCTCGTGACCATTACAACTAGGAATGAAAGTGAGGAAACATCCAAATTTTAAGCTTCCAGTACAGGAATTGAAGGGAAATCTTTTGATGAACACATTTTGGTAACAACTGTCAAAGAAGGGAGTTGCATCACTTTGGAGAGATTTCCTCTCACTGTCTGTTGTATCTAAAGGACCTGAAGTTAAGGGAAATATCTAGAAAGGGACAGAGATAGTTTAGAAAACTGACAGGTGTTTTTACCATTCCTTACTCTATCCAAAATGAAAAATGGTTTGCCTTTAAATATACTTTAAAAATAAGACAATCCAAAACTGACCTCTTAGCTATGGATAGATGTCTATGGGTTTATTAATTGCCCCTATTACTCTGATATCTTAGTTGTTGGTAGAGCTCTGTGAGTTTATTCACTTATTGAGGGTTATTTACTAAAACTGGAGAGTGCAAAATCTGGTGTAACTCTACATAGAAACTCAGCTTCCAGATTTTATTGCCAAAGCTTAACTGAACAAGCTGAAGTTGGAAGCTGATTGGCTACCATGCACAGCTACACCAGAATCTGAGTGCTCCAGTTTTAGTAGATTTACCCCACTGGCTCTTTAAAACTCACTGCAATTTTAGAAAAAAAAAAAAAAGTCTTCAACGAATCATAGATTGCTTTATCTCAGGGAATGTTTTCATCTGCCATCTGATGATTTATACTTAGTGGTGTAGGTAAGATGACCACATGGCTCACTGTAAAGCTGTTGGAGATATAGTATTGTGGCAGCAGAAGGTTGAAACCTTTTTTAACCTTCTTAGCGGTCTGATTATGTCCATATTTCTGTGCTCAAAGCGGTACATTTTTTTGCATGGAAATATGTATTTTTTTTTTTGTAGGCCTGTAATTTTTAGGAATACCTCACTGAAATCTGTCCGAACAAGAATCTAGTAAACATCCCGGGTATGTTAAAATTTGAATCACAAAATCATAAATTATAATTTAATAAATAATCATAAAAATTAATAATATAATAATAATAAATTTAATTCAATAATATAATCAAACCAAAAACACTGAAATTTGAAATATAGCGCCAAGTTCGCACATCACTGAGCAAAGTCGCAAAATCGTTTTCAGTGTCGAATTTCCCCACAAATCATTATCACTCAATTCTGCAAGTAGTTCTAATTTACTATCGCTGTTTTCTAGCTGGTCTAAAACTGGTTTTGACCTAAAGGGACGCTTTTTGGACGCCATGGACATTTCTCAGTTTCCAGGCAGAAAGAACAGTAAAAATGTAGGCAGGGCACAGGACAACGCACTAGGGACAAAATGTATGTGAAATGGTTTGATACAGTAATGTTTTACTATGTTATTTTAGTGAATTTAGTGAATGTCACTTTTTGTCATTTTCAAATTTCCCCCCATTCCGTCTCCCGTACGTCCTGATGTCTCAGGGAACGGAACACGGAAGACAGATGCCGGCATCCGCCGGAGGACATAGCCGGGCACACTGCAGGAGGGACATCGCGGGAGCGCAGGAGAAGGTAAGAGAAGAACAGATCCCGGAGCAGCGCCGCATGGTAAGCCCGAGTGTAGCTCAGGGTTACCGCTTGTGGTACTGAAACTTTACCCCGAGCTACATTCGGGAATACCACCAGGGAGGTTAAGAAGATGATAGCTCTTTTGCCTACCAGGTGTGTTGAAAACATGTCATCTAAAGCACCTCTCTCTGCTTTTAATGGAGGAAAGTTCATGTAAGTGACAGTGTAACACTGAGGGAATGTTCTGTGTATCTGTAAACTTTTAAGATTAGGATTTAAACAACTTGCATATTTTTTTCTTTTTTAGGTCAGTTACTATTTTCCTTTAAAGACACTGTGGCGTTCTTTTTTTGCTGCCCTTGTTGCTGCCTTTACCCTGAGATCTATCAACCCATTTGGCAACAGTCGCTTAGTTCTTTTCTATGTGGAATATCATACACCATGGTATATGATGGAACTGATTCCATTCATCCTTCTTGGTGTCTTTGGAGGGCTTTGGGGTACACTTTTCATTCGTTGTAACATTGCTTGGTGCCGCCGGCGCAAAACCACCAGTCTTGGCAAGTATCCAGTACTGGAAGTCATTGTGGTCACTGCAATCACAGCCATTATTGCTTACCCAAATCCATACACGAGGAGGAGCACAAGTGAGCTGATCTCAGAGCTGTTTAATGACTGTGGAGCTCTGGAGTCTTCTCAACTCTGTGATTACATCAACGATATCAACATGACCAGACCAGTGGATGACATTCCAGACAGGCCAGCTGGCCCAGGAGTCTATACTGCAATGTGGCAGTTGGCATTAGCTCTTGTATTTAAAATCATCATTACTATATTCACATTTGGTATGAAGGTAAGCCTACTATTCTATTTTATTTTTTATTTTTATTACTAACATTATGGTGTTCATCTGTTAAAATGAAAATATCTTTGATTATTGGGACTCCCTGGTTGAGTAATGTAGAGCATACTGATCAACAGTGTCTTCTTTTGTGTGAATATTTTTTTTTTAATACTGGGCAGCACAGTGGCTAAATGGTTAGCACTTCCACCTGGCAGTACTAGGGTTGCTGGTTCAAAGCCCGACCACGGAACCACCTACCTGGAGTTTGCATGTTCTCCCTGTGCCTGTGTGGGTTTCCTCCTGGTACTCCAGTTTCCTATCCTCCCATTCTCCAAAAGACATGCTGGTAGGTTAATTGGCTCCTGTCTAAATTGGCCCTAGTATGTATATGTATGAAGGTGAGTTAGGAACCTTAGATTGTACGCTCCTTGCGGGTTAGGGACTGATGTGAATGTACAATATATATGTAAAGTGCTGCGTAAATTTGTGGTGCTGTATAAGTACCTGTAATAAATAAATAAATGCACATATTATTTTTTATGCAAGTTACTAATGGTGCATATAAGAAGCCATAAATACAATGCCATGTAACAAACTAGATGAGGTCTCAATTTTAAAAAGGACCTATTGATGATTTTACAAGTATGCTTGAAACCATTCCTCACATTTTACAATATGTAGCAAAATAATATGTTTTTAAAAAGCTGTGCTTTTTATTATTAAAAGGCAGTACCTGGGTTCCAGGCAATTGTCTTTGTCTAGATCCAGTCTCTCAAGGTCTTGCAAAAATAAAGTATCTTTAAAAATGCAAGTTATTTTCACCATTTTGAGGATTATGCAAGCCAATGCTGTTTTTAATTGCTGCTATTTATTTCCTTTAATATATATTGGATATACAGTACACGTGACTATGCTTATATAGAAGTATTACTAGGTGAAATAAATGCAGGCTGCATAGACTACTTGGTCCTGTTCTCAATATTCTATAATTTTATGAATATTTCTGTGTCTAATCCTAAACAGTATCCTTGTTAGCTCAGATGTTTCTTTTATAATATGTGTTTCTTGGTTTAAATTGATCAATTATTCAGCCTGTTTTTCTCATCTAGAACATGTTCTCTTTTATGTTAGCCTGTAGACTTGTTACAGGTGTCTTTCCTGGTTTCATGAATATTTACCACTTGTTTTAATAAGAAGGACCACCAAGAGACTCAGCTGCAGCAAGTCACATGGGAGCACTTTTCTAAATATTTAAATATCTACCATTAATAAAATAACAATCCCTTATGATACAAGTACGTCTTTGATAGAAGTTTCAAGTATAAATATCCTCTGGTTGTCCGGGAAGTACTGAACACTACAGAGCAGTTTTGGTCTACCTGATCTGTTTTGTGTAACACTGAAATGTGTTTTATCATCGTCTGCCGCAAGTGTGTCTACACTATACCCTTTGTTAAATGATTATAATATTTAAATGAACATAGAGGTATCTAATAACATAAGCTAGTTGCATATATAGAGTACTAGTATGGTAATGTAACCACAGAATGTCAGTTATATAGCTTACTCTGAATCACTGGTTGTCCATCTGGCATTTTTAGATGCACACACCCTAAAATAATATTTCCCTTCAAATATTTTAGTGGAGAATGAATTCAGCATTTTTTTCACTGGAATATTTCAGACATTAGTTAAAAAATAATAGCAAACTCGTTCAAGGTCGTTTGTGCTTCAATGTCTTAAAGAGTAGCTACATTTTTATTAAAGAAGAACATTAACTAGTGCTTAAAATTACACTTACCTAAGTGCTTTACTTTTCAAGATACAGTCCTCTATAAACCAAACAGTGAGTGCTACTGTTCTGTTAGGCATTTTGAGTTGAGTTAAAACATGCTAATTTTGAAAGGGTTGGTATTGTAAGTCAATGCATGAATGCATGAATAGATGCATATTCCCAATTTGTGATGCACTGCCTAGGTGCAATGGTGTGCCATTTAAAATAAATGGCACTGCAACATATCATTCTGAATAACACTCTAATGCACCTAGCCAATACACCACAACGCAAATGCATTTTAGCACACATTGGTGTCCTTTTATGACACAGAGAATAGCTGAGATTCAGAGGATCGCAGCTATTCTCTGGTCATTCACAGTTTATGACACCCAGGAGAACATGTTCAGCCCTTCCCTGGCGATCTGTGTTCTCCCTCCAGATTCTCCAGCCGAGAGCTGGAGAATTGGAGGGACCGCAAACTAAGCAGAGATAATTTACCTCTGCTTAGTAAACTGATCTTTTACTGTAATCTCGCGAGATTATGGTAAAATCAGCCGTTTTCCAGCGTTTGTAGACCGTTCTCCCTTCGTTTGGAGAACTGATCTACATATGCTTCATAAACGGCATTCACAGGAGAACTGTGTTCTCCGAGAATGCCGGAGAACTGAGCAGTGATCTATTACCGCTGGTTCATAAACGGACACCTGTAATGGATATAGGTGAACTATTTGTGTCACCACCATGTATAGTTTGTATGAATAGGTCTTTAGCTAAACAGTTGCAATAGTAGAAGTCTACAGGGCTATCTAATGTATGGGTACCTTCACATGTGTGGATGCACCCTGCCTGTGATTATGATCAAGAACCCAAGCGGGGTTTCCTCTGATTGACTGAGAGAAGCAGCCCCATTGAAAGCAAAGGTACAGGTACAGTAGGCACAGCTCTGTGTGTATGGGCATATTGATTACTATAGTGCTGCATCTAGATGCTTCATTCTGGCTGTTATTTCTATATATTACCTGAGGCAGACCCCACCCAATTTTGGTAGCTTTTATGAGACCATGCTGTGCTAGACAGTACAAACCAGTCCTTAACCTCCATTGCAGAAGCATTGCAGCTTGGTCAAGAACCCTGGATTAAAACATTTTTCCAACTTCTGATTGGATATTGATTGTTGGTACATATGCATATAGCAAGGCCTTACTGCTTTTTGTCCTGGTATAGAGGGGATCACAGTGACCAATGTCTATACAAATGTAGCTACTTATACTATTTATGCCTAAAAATGCTTGTGCATTTAATAAACATAAATACAATAGTTCAATAATTACAAGAAAACATTTTGCCATATCTAGTGCAGTGCGACTCTCAAAATTGCATGCATAAAAAAAAAAATCAAATAAAAAAAATGTAAATCGACAGTACAATAAACCACCGTCACAGAAATAAAATACTTGCTTTCATTTTTGTAACTGCCTAGAGTTCATCTTTAAGGGACTATGCATTATAACTTACAAATCAGCACTATATTTGTTGAATACTGATAAATGAAATCCCGTCTCAAGCCAATCTTTTTTTTTTTTATTCTTGAGAAGATTAAAAATGTCTATCAAATTGCTGTCTTTGGCCCATCACCTCACTTTCTGACCCTGTGTCACAACATGACAAGACATAAAGGAGCAGTTGTCACTGCGACAGGAACACGCAGACAATAATATACTGAGAAAGGTTCTAAGCATTCAACTGATGGTTCAACACATATTACTGATGAAAAAGTGTGTTGCTTTGTTCAGTGTCCCTAATGGGAAATCTTTTAATTGGGGTCACAGACGGAAAAAAAAAAAAAAACCTGCCAGTTGTTAGAACCTTTTCACACTCCAATAAAAAAAATATATAAAATGCAGGAGTTGGGTTTTGAATATTTTTACCCTGGAACGTGACAGTGACAACTGGCAAACTGGGTGTAACAAGAAGTTTTGGCCACAAAAGCACACAACTATTGTAGTCAGCTATGTATCCTTTTCAGCCTGCTACCAAATTCCTCCTTCTCCCTAGCCTCAGTGCAGTGTTAGTACAGTGTTCCTAATGGTTTACTAACCATTACTTATCCAGCCATATTTAAAGCCTTCCCCACAGTCTGTTTACATTGCAACAACAACACTTTTCTCCAGGCAATTATGGAGGTATCTGAGCAACCTCAAGGGACATAAAAGAGTTCACTGCATAGGCTCCAGGTAACCTCTAACTGTATGCATAACCTGTAAATACTATTGTTCTGCAAATCTGCTACCTCCAACTTCTCCAATTTCTGGAGCAAGGTATGTTGTCTCTTAAACTGGCTATACATTATTAGAATTTTCATTCGAAATTGCTAATTTTATCAATGTTTATTTGATTTTCTCATCATTAGTTGGTTGAAATTGATGTTTGTTTTTTTAAGAAACGAGAAAATTTAAAGGAGACATTTTTTCTCAAATGAACAGATTTTTAAAGGTGTTTGTGATTTTCATTCAGTAAGTCCATTTTCTCCAAAATTGAATGTTAAAGCAAGCAAAATTTTGAAATACTCTTTTATGACATTCGTCAAGCTGTCAAATGTAGTGAGAATTTTTATATGAATTTTCATACAAATTTTCATTTGAAAATCTACTAATGTATATCCAGCTTTAGTCCCTTCTTTGGGAGACAGATTTGTTCCCATAAATGTAAATACATAACTCATGTGTTGTGAACAAATATAGAATTGTATGGATTTTGGCTTGTAATATTTAAAACTTGTAGTTTAGTCTTTCATAGGAATGGTGCAGCTTATTTTCAAAACTTAGCAAGACTACACTTAATGGAAATAAATTGCTGAATAATTGTATTGCGCAGCACAGTGTTATTTTATCTTATTGTACGCTGTGGTTTTCATACTTTATAGATTCCATCGGGCTTGTTTATCCCAAGCATAGCAGTTGGAGCCATAGCCGGCCGTATAGTTGGAGTTGGGGTGGAGCAACTGGCTTATCATCATCATGATTGGATAATCTTTAGAAACTGGTGCAGACCAGGAGCGGACTGTGTTACTCCAGGGCTATATGCCATGGTGGGAGCCGCAGCATGTCTAGGTGCAGTATTGTAGGTTATTACTTTGTACCAATTGTCGGATTACAATTTGTGTCCTAAATTATTTTTGTTTCTCAAATGACTAGGAAATTTCAGCACTGTTTCATTTTATGCCAAAAATTTTTTTATGTTGCAAATATTTTTGCTAAATGTCCTAATAAATATAATGTAAGTTTTCAGCCTTTTTAGGCTGAAGAAGGTTTGCAAGTTACTGTTTGCTTTCACAATAGTGTAAGGACCAAACCTAAATATGAACTTGTGATTTACCCATGTAGGGCAGAGCAAAAGATTCACTAAACTATTGCCCTTGTCCACATACATCTGAATGAAGGGGCAGGAGAGTGAAAGACAGATATGTGCAAGTGGGCAGGTAGGCAGAAGTGAATCAATTGCTTTGACCCGCATGAGCAAAATTAAGTATTCATATAGGGCATGTTTATAAAGCAGTGAATGTGACAATCACCAAACATGGGTTGAAAGTAAGTAAATCACAGTAATTTAACTTTTTCCAACCCAGCCACAATGTACCTTTAATAGGATCTTTACGTCTGAGGGCAAGAAGGACTGCCCAATCATGTGAGCACTACATGATAGCCTGTCACAGTGGTCACATGATTGGGAGCCAATCCCACTGACTTTGACAGCTCGGTCACTGTGCTAGAGTGTGTAGTGAGTGCGCCCTCAGCCCAGGAACCCCAACTGCCCATGGATGTATATGTGCTGCACGTGGACGTCCAAGCACATCATCTTTGCCGCTGTACAAACACTTTTTATGCGTGACAGTAAGTTAATAAACATGCACCAGAAAGATACACCTATAGTGAATGTTTGGTGTATGTTACATTCATTGCTTTATAAATATGCCATATAGTATAAATATGTAGTGCAAAGTGCAGTGACCATTTCCAACATTCAGGATGAATCTTGTACTGTCCTGACTTCAGTTAACCACTTCAAGTCCAGACACTTTCATCCCCTTCCTGCCCAGGCCAATTTTCAGCTTTCAGTGCTATCACACTTTGAATAACAATTGCGCGGTCATGCAACACTGTAACCATATTAATTTTTTAGCATTTTTTTGAGACCGATAAAACTTTATTTTGGTGGTATTTATTCACCACTGGGATTTTTTTTTTTTTTTGCTATATAAATAAAAAAGTCCACAAATTTTTTTAAAAAGTGTTTTTCTTAGAAAATTTTGCAAATAAATAATCCTTCTTAAAAAATATTGGTCAAAATGTATTCAGTTATCTTTTTAGTAAAAAAAAAATAACCCAAATTAGTTCATAACCAAAAATTATAATATTTTTTTAAAAAAGATTTACATTTGTATTTTATTTTTTTATATTATTATTTATTTTTGTTGTTCATTTTTTTTACATACTGTCACCCTAGCAGTACAGTGTCACCATGGTGACACTGTACTACTTGTGGGGGGGGATGAACATTTTTTTTTTTTACACTGATTGCTTTTACACACATAAAGGCTGTAAAAGCAATCATATCTCCTTCTCTCTGGCTGCATTCTTGCAGCAATTGAGAAATACTGTGAGAGCTGTGATTGGTCACAGCTTGTCACATGGTACAAGGCTGTTTTGAATAGCCTTGTACCATGTGACCTCTGTGATCATTCACAGATTTCACACATAGTAAGCAATGATGTCAGGAAGTGATATCTTGCTTACTACTGTTCATGTGATTACTGATTGGCCAATCAGTGATCACATGATCGGGACCTCACACACAGAGGTCCCGTACAGCAATCGGTGTTCCGCTGTGTCCTCCGGACACAGCAGGCACTGGATTGCGGTGCCACGCACTCCCAGGGAGCGCGCACAGTCTGTAAATGCGGGCGCCGTTTACGAACGGCAACCCGCTCCTGCACTGCTCTCTTCAGGCCGTTTATGTACCTTGGCCGGACAGGAAGTGGTTAAGGAAATTCTGATTGACTGCAATGGGGTAGTATCTTACAGGAAACCCGACAGCAAAAAAACCCCAACCTACTCCCTGTCCCACCCTGTCTTAAGCACCTTTCAGTAGCTATATTTACACTTATCTCCACTATTGGTGTTCTGATCCCTGCTGCAACTTGATAAAATTCTTCTCCTATTTCAAATATCAAGAAGTATGTCAAATGACACCTTCCTGCCCCACAACATAGCACTGGAGGATTAAATCACCCATCACCAGGCCCCAGCACACATTCCTTTTACAACGTTCAACAGTTTTAAGTATTTTCAACACTGAGTGCTGGTTCACATATATGCGGATTGGATGTAGCCATATCTGAGTTGCTTCTGCTGTTTTCCTGGATATCATTGATCTTTAGGTCACTGATTTAGAAGAACTGAAACCCGATGGCCAGCATGATAGCCAGGCACTGACAACCTCAGAAGGAGAGGTGATTAAGGGCAGACATGTTTCTCTCACCACGTTTCCTTTAAATTAGGAGAATAAAGTAAATCAAAGACAAAACTTTTTTTCCCCATTTTGGATAGAGTAAAGAATGTTTAACCACCTCCCGCCTGCCATATAGTAATATGAAGGGGCGCAAGGTGGTTCTCTCATTCTGGAAGGACGTCATCCTCCCATTCTCACTGCTCATGCGCGGCTCAGGGAGCGCGCAGTGCGGCGATCAGCGGTGCACTGTGTCCCTCGGACACAGCAGATCACCGATCACAGAAAGAGCCAAAGATGTCGGCTCGGCCATGTGATCAGCTGTGTCCAATCACAGCTGATCATATGTAAACAGGGAAATGCCGGTTATCGGCATTTCTCTCCTCTCAAGCTATCACGCTGACAGCTCGAGAGGAGAGGAGAGCTGGTAATCGGCTTTCTGTGGAGGGGACATGTACACTGATCATCAGGGCACTGATGATCGGTGTGCCCTGATGATCACTGTAGCCCCAGCAGTGCCACCTGTCAGTGTCCATCAGTGCCTTATGTCAGTGCTCATCAGTGCCTCGTGCCAGTGCCACATCAGTGCCACATATCAGTGCCTACCAGTGCACATCAATTCCACATATCAGTGCCCATCTGAGCTGCCTTTCAGTGCCACCCATCAGTGCCAGTCAGTGCCACCTATCAATGCCAATTAGTGCCACCTATCAGTGCTGCCAATCAGTGCCACCTATCAGTGCCAGTCAGTGCCTATCAGTGCGCATCAGTGCCGCCGATCAGTGCCTGTCAGTGCCGCCCAGCAGTGCCAGTCAGTGCCGCCTAACAGTGCCAGTCAGTGCCGCCTATCAGTGCCAGTCAGTGCTGCCTATTAGTGCCAGTCAGTGCCGCCTATCAGTGCTGCCTATCAGTGCCATGTATCAGTGCTGCCTTTCAGTGCCCATCAGTGATGCCTGCCAATGCCCATCAGTGCCACCTACCAGTGCCTCCTCATCAGTGCCCATCAGTGCCACCTATCAGTGTCCATCAGTGCAGCCTATCAGTGCAGCCTCATTAGCGCACATCAGTGAAGGAGAAAAATCACTATTTACAAAATTTTATAACAAAAACTAAGAAAAAACTTTTTTTTTTTCAAAGTTTTCTGTGGTTTTTGGTTTGTTTAAGAAAAAATAAAAAACCCAGAGGTGATTAAATACCACCAAAATAAAGCTCTATCTGTCACAAAAAAATGATAAAAATTTCATATGGGTACAGTGTTGTTTGACCGCGCAATTGTCATTCAAAGTGCGACAGTGCTGAAAGCTGGAAATTGGCCTGGGCAGGAAGGGGGTATAAGTGCCCTGTAGGCTAGCGGTTAAATACCCTGCCAGTTTTTTTTTCCTTTTTGCCACCTGTGTCTACTTCAAAAAAGTTTCTTTCACTTTCCTTTCCTGTAGACACCGCAGGAAGTTGGAAAATCTCTTCAAAGTGAGATAACTTTTCTCTTTGCTGTTATGGGAACAAGTGTCCTCCCTAAAATATTTCCTCTTTCTTTCTGTTCATGTGGCAGCTCAAATTTTTAAATTTTCCTCACTTCTCTGACTCTTCCTAACAGGGGTTCTAATCCCTTGCAACACAAAAAAGTTCTGCCTTATATTTTAAGCAAATAATTTGCCAATACAAGCATAACAGAACATTGCAGGAAATAAATACTATTTACAAAGCTGATTATATTTCTCATCTTCTTTATAATATGACATTTGCCAGAAACCTAAAACAGAAATTATGTTTTGAGTTTATAAAAACCTTGCTCTCAGGCAATAAAATTACAGTTGTGTGGTCATCCTTACTGCCAGATTAATAGTAATTTTCTTCTGTATTTCCAGCTGGCTATAGAAAGACAGAACATTTTTTTTACATGTGACTCAAACAAAGGGGAAAAATTGCTGACAAAATTGGATTAGCACCATATAAAAAATTTTTTTAAACCCCTATGAATTACCTTTAAATTTTGATTATAATGTCATTCTAAATATATATATGGATTTTTAATATCCTGTGTTAAAACATGATAGACCTTTGCTTACACCAGTAGTCCTGGCTAGTTGTGGAAGATATGTCTTATTTGCAAACCTGACAATGTCACCATGTTCACTGTAATGGTATCATACCTCTTAATAATACATTATAAGACATCTTGAGAGTGTATACTGATGGTATTCTGGGGCTTCTGATTGCAATAGTTAAGGTTTTCCTGGACCAGAGATAGTCAATATAGGCTGGCCCTCTTGGATCCTTAGTTTAGACCAAAAGGCAACCAAGCAGGTCTCGCCCATTCTTCATGGCCCTTTAGTAGAAATGACTGACATTCATAGGCATCATTTCCTTGAAAAATCAAAAAATGTTTCCATTTTGGCAAAATGTATAGAAATCAACTGGGTAATCATAATTAAATCGGAAGTTAACACATCTACCCTTCCTCCATCACCAGTGCTGACATATTTGTCTGTTCTTTTTGTGTTTGCGGGATTTTCGGCCATCTTGTTTGGCTGGGCTGTAATGACATAACTCTCACACACAAGAGTTTTTCTGTTTCAATATTATTATTTACAAAAGTTTTGTTTTTAAGAATATAACAAGCTCAAAATACGCCCTCGCAGGGGCAGAGCAGAACAATAACACATAAACAGAGACATCCTGCTGATTTGTATTAGTCAAATAATGAAATGTCCAATGGCATCAAGAATGGACGGCAAAAAAACCGAACCAAATAGCAGCAGTAATCCAACATAATATCGGAAGAAAAGATAAAAGAAAAAAGGTTAGAAGAAAACAAAAAGAAAATAAAACAAAAGGGAATTAGAAAGAAAACATGAAAGAAGGGAAACTAGAGGGATCACGGATCTGGGCTAGCACAGGCAGCGACTATAGGAGGCCATAACTAGTAGGAGGCAGGGATGGCAAGGAAAAACGTATCCAAGGTTCCCAAACCTTAAGGAATCTCGGATGAGAATCATGAAGAATGCTAGACATCCATTCGTTGAACAACATAGCATTCATCCGGGTCTTTACCCCCTGGAAGACTACCGAAGGGGTTCTCCATGCTAAAGCACGTTTGGCCGAAATGAACAGGTAGGATGCCAATTTCTGCTGAGACCTAGAGAGATCCAAAATTGGGCAATGCAGGAGAGCCACCTTTGCATCCCTACAGACCGTAATATGAAATAGCGTTTGTAACAAACCAAAAACCCTAGACCAGAAGTCTATCAATCGCGGGCACGACTACCAAATGTGCAAGATGTCCCCACGTAGACCACAGTTCCGGAAACACCTATCTCTGCCAGTTGGATTAAAGTGAGCAGTCCGAGCTGGAACCCAGTACCACCGCAGGAGAACTTTGTAGGCTGCCTCAAGAGTGACTGTATTGAATGAACATTTTGCCACCATCCCCCAGGCCCTACGCCAATCCTCCGCCACAATGGAGACACCCAGATCTCTCTCCCATTGAGAGAAATAAGACAGGGGTGGTGAGGAAGACCTACTGTTAAGGGAGGCATAAATTACAGAAATAAGACCAGGGGACCCTGGGGAATGCTGACAAGCGTGCTCAAAGGGTGTTTTGAGGTAAGGGTATGTAGAGGTACGACGGAGGGATAGGACCCAGTGGCGCAATTGCAAATACCGATAATCCTCCAAACAAAAGAAAAAAAGAGATTTTTTTCAATCAAATTTCACTGAAGCAGTTAAAGTGTTACTAAACCCACAACAGTAAAATCAGTCTGCATATGCAGTAAAGCATGCTTGTTATACTCACTGTGGAACCTAAGGGGTTAATCCTCTGTATTGTGTAAAATGGCTTTTTGATCCTGTCTTCTGTGATCCTCCTCTTCTTCTACTGTCCCCAATCCACCTGCTGATAGTACAGAGCTCTAGGAGTCACTCTGCACATACTCAGTTTATTGTGTATTGCTAGAGAGTTTTTGTTTTCTTTGGGAGGGCGCATGTGATCAGCACAAGCCAATCAGCACTGTTCAGACAGAGGGTCAGTGGTTATGCAGCCTCATAGGACAGTCAGAGCAGAATGAAAACTCCTTCTACAAGATGGACACTGATAGAAGTCACAATACTTCTATATACTACAAATGAGAAAAGGTATTAGCAGTTTATGTTTGCATTTCTATGTTTTGTGTACTGTGGGAGACCAAATATAGTGACTGCAGGGTTCTGAGTTTAGTAACACTTTAAGTGAGAAAAAATTAAAATTTCATTTTGGATAAATCTTACTGGTAGCTTAATCAAATTTGCTCATCACTATCATTTAGCAGGCAAACCCATCTGTGATACTTTTAATTCAACCACTAAGGCAAAGATACATTTTGTTTATGTTAACTTTCACAAAAAATAAAGATGATTTTCTTTCAAGCACTCTATGTCATACAGTAAGCCTCAAATGACAATGTTTTCTTGTTTTATTAATAGGTGGTGTCACCAGGATGACAGTTTCTTTGGTTGTCATCATGTTTGAGTTGACGGGTGGTCTGGAGTACATTGTACCACTAATGGCAGCTGCAGTCACCAGTAAATGGGTAGCAGATGCATTTGGAAAAGAAGGAATTTATGAAGCACACATCCATTTAAATGGATACCCATTTCTTGATGTAAAAGATGAGTTCACCCACAGGACATTGGCCACGGACGTCATGCGGCCTCGTCGTGGTGAGCCACCACTCTCTGTACTAACCCAGGACAATTTGACAGTAGAAGATGTGGAGACTCTAATCAAGGACACCGATTATAATGGTTTCCCTGTTGTGGTATCCAGAGACTCCGAACGTCTAATTGGTTTTGCCCAAAGAAGAGAACTTATAATTGCAATAAGTAAGTTTCTGGTTCTGACGTAAGGTTTGCACTGATTTATTTACGTCTAACATTTTAGTTTTTCTGTCATCATTTATCTGACCACAGGCTGCTGAAGTAAACATAATGTTTTTTTCAGGATTTTAATAGATTTAAAATCATCTTTGCAAATATTATTTAAATGATAAAACAAACCCCAACCCTTATTCTTATAATGAAATCAAGACAATGTTCCAAACTTAACATATATCTATTTTTTTTTTTAGCAGCTGGAAGTTATAGATCTGTAGATTTCCCAAATAATAAAGTGTATTCTACAACTAAACACATCCAGACCTTAAACAATATACTAAATTCAAGTCTAGTTCCTAGGCATATAGTCTTCTGTTGGATACACATTGTTTTATGCTGAATACAATTCTGGATATTCATGATTGTATTTTTATACAGTATAACACATGCAGACCACAGAGATCTTCAGATGAGAACCAGAAGCATCCATAAAAATACACACACATTTGTAAAATGAATATTGAACTAGTCACATATAGAAATAGTACAGGTCTCAGATGAGTACAGTGGGGAAAATGTAGCTTAAACCGATCTAAGTGATTGACTGCATATGTATGCAGAGAGTTTAGTGAGTTTAATAAGTGATAGTTAGAAAAAGTAAATGGCCAACTGTGCTTCTCCCATTAGAGGTTTCACTACTACAAAATGTATTCCTGGGCTTCACTTGTCAAAACAGTGCAAAGGACCCAGGGGCGGACTGACCATTTGGAAACTTGGGCACTGCCCGAGGGCCCGGGGAGTAGGGGGCCCCATGAGATGCCCCTGGTACCTTTTTCATAGGCTTTTTTGAGTTTGGGCAAGGACACAGGGGCCCCATGATCCCCTATTGCCAGGGGGCCCCATGAGTTGTCAGTCCGCCCCTGAAAGGACCAATACTTTTCAGTGGGTATTACATGAATTACATGAAGCTCAAATCCTACTGTAGCAGCACCACTGTTACATATGGTAGGGTGACCAGTTCGTTGTAAAACAAAAAGAAGACATTGGGTGAACCCCTAGTGTTATAAGCCCAATAGCTTTCAAAAAATAAATAGAAACAAGATTGCACTCACAAAACTTTAATGAATGTATACCCATCAGGGTTACTATAGGAAACCTTCTGGGGTATACTTAGAATAGCAGGGATCACAAGCCCATCCTGGTTGCCAAAGAAAACTGCTTCTAGGTAGTTCTCTTTCAGGAACACTTTCAGGGTTGAGATACATGCAGACTACAACAGTGTATTAAGGAATACAATTTTTTCAATTAAAATCAATATTTCCTCTCACATGTACTAGACGCCTAAAGAGTCTCAGCCTTTGATCACATATCCACAGCCTATCATAACCAAAGGACAGTACTTCTGCTACTATAGTGTAAACCATAGAGTAAAGGGGTAACTCATTATGGAGAGCCAGTATACACACAGTAGGGTTCTGAGTGAACAGAATTATGACATGAAGATAGATTAGTGGGTCTCATGTTTATAACAATTACAGAACATAAATTCCCAGTCTGTAACAAATCCCATACCTTGACACTAAATTCCTCCACAAAATAAATGCTGATATTGGGGAATTAATAACCCTTAAGTGGGTAGGTGGTGGTAATTTGTGACTAGATACTCTAATATCCTCCTCCTACGTAATAATTTGCAACTGGATGACGTGTCTCTGTTGAATGTCCATGCAATTCCCCTGGATGCTTGACGTATTTCCGGTCATAGGGGTGACGTACTTCCGGTTCCGGGTTCGGACGCCATCTTTGTACACCTGAATATACCCATAGCACATGGGGAACTGCTTCTCTCTGTTGGAGGATATGTGAGTGCATTTTTTTATATATCTCTGAGTGCATTAAAACAGAGTTGCACTATGGAGGTCTGCTTTTTCTTGCATATGCGCCCTGTGTCTGAGTCCGTATTGTGAGGGGAGTTATTTGAGTGGAACTCATTGCCTGGAGGAGGATCTTGATTGGGTCGGTGGAGGCAGTGGAGGAGAAAAACACCTGGCAGAGATATATTATATATATATAAAGCTTTGTGACCCGCAAGGGTCGAATGTGGAAGGTGAGGGGGCACTTTGGCTATTATTGAGGGGAGTCACGTCAAGATTTTCACGAAGAGCACAATTGCAGCATGGAGTGACGTCATTTGAACACTTTTTATGATTTTGCACAGTGTGGCATCACAATTTATTTTGAATTAATATTTTATTTAATTGTTTTAATTAATTGGATATAAGTATCACTTTGCACAGCTCAAGAGGTATTAGTTGTTCATCACTATACCACCAGGGACGTATAATCCATATATGGGGATATTGCACTAGTTTTTTCATTTATATTGATTATTTTTTTGTATATTTGCACAGCTCAAGAGGTATTAGTTGTTCATCACTATACCACCAGGAACGTATAATTCATATATGGGGATATTGCACCATTTTTTTTATTTATATTGATTATTGAGTTTGCATATTTGGAATTTATTTAGGTATGAGATAATTTTCACTTCTATTTAAGTTGAGCGCTTCACCATTTATATAATTTTGTTTGCACATATCTTGCGGTATAGAGAATAGGTGATAGCAGCTAACTCACTAGGTTCTGTGGAGCGCAGGGGGATTTCTGTAAATTTAATTCCCCTGGATGGTATAGCATGTCTCTGCTGAATGACACAGTATAGGTGACAACAAATACCATATTGTGATATACTATGGTACTACTGTGTGATAATACACTTTCTAGTTGACTCCTCTAAATGTATTCCACCACTTCTATGCTGCTTCAGAGATCTCTTCTGGTGTAGGCTGGGCACAGATGTACTGCCAGTTCTGTCTCCATTTGAAATAACATAGGGCTTTACTGCTGTACCTGGCTGCATGTAACCTTTAAGCCCTTGCACCCACTTCACATGAGGCTACTTACATTACATTCAGCATATCACAGAGGTGAGGTTTCTTTTTGTCAACTAATTTATTGAACAGTAGTTTTGCAACTACATACAATAATGCTTTGCACAACTTTCTACTATACCGTATATACACTACATATAGACAAACATTCTGTCTCCACTATGTGGAAAGCCAAGAAAGGCAGTAACCTTCTCTTTCAAGTAGAGAAATGTTACTAGAACAGGTCTTTGCATAGCTTTCTGCTGACTTTTTAGGATGGCAAATACTGTATCTATTCAAACAATATTTTGGAGGAAGCAAAACTTGGTTGTAGAATGTGGTGTTCTTAAATAGAGATGAGCGAATCGAACTTGGCGAAGTGGAATTAGTTTCGAATATTAGGAAAATTTCGATTCGCGACGAATCCGAAAATTAGCAGACTTCGGATGCGCGAATCGAAATTTTTCCTAAAATGGCGGCGACATGTGCGGGATCTCTGGGAAGGCGCGCAGACAAGGCGCGCTGACCCATAATGCATTCATTCATGACATGTGATCGCATTAGCCAATCAGCAGCCAGCCAGCCAGCACTGTGTAATGGTCGAGCTATAAATTGCAGCCAATTTTAGAATTCTCCATTTGCCTCCAGTCATTCAAGAGAGGCAGACCTGTCTGTATTGAGGGAGAGAGTTAGGGACACAGAACCGTTTTACTCAGGGACAGACACAGAATTGTTACTCAGGGAAAGACACAGAATTGTTTACTGAGGGGACACAGAATTGTTACTGATGGGACACAGATTTGTTACTCAGGGGACAGACACAGAATTGTTACTCAGGGACAGACTCAAGAATTGTTACTCAGGGACAGACACAGAATTGTTACTGAGGGACACAGAATTGTTACTCAGGGGACAGACACTCAGAATTGTGACTCAGGGACAGACACAGAATTGTTACTGTCAGGGGACAGACACAGAATT